TAATATGTAACATCCCTGGAGTGACTTGTGAATTCCAAAATTCGCCGTGATATTCTCAGAAACTGCTTAATTGCTAAGAGCGGTTTTGAATAATGTCGACAAACTTTGTGTAAGATCAGTTGAGATAATAATTTACACCAGCGACTAAATGGGACAACACGTTAATTATTCAATAGTAATAAAAATTAATAGTTGGTACAAAATTATTAAAAGGAAACAAATATACTTTTCTTTTAAATTTTAAGTAATACATACATAACTATAGTGTTATCGGAGAATATTTGCATCATTTCCACTTATTGTTAGCCTAAGGCCCGTATTTAGTCACTTGAATCTTTCGTCTCAAAATTGTATCAGATGAGATACTCATAATGAAGGTTTTAACTGAGATGTTAGTAGAAACGCGACTACAAATACGGGCTTGAAAATTTCTTCCCATTTGCGTGTGTATGTGTGTGAGTTTGCTTTACTTTGATTTATTAAAGATAAGCTCTTTTGAGTTGTTTCATGTCATGTAAACGCATACGTATAATATGTGCAATAAAATGAGTGCAACGCTATTTTGCAAAATGGTGCGCTACATATTTCTCTACTTTAATGTTTACAAATCGTGTAAATCTCTTAATGAGGCAGAAATGTAATGCCGGTCCAATTAAGCTATGAATATGTATCAAAAACGAAATATACTTTTCATTTCACACGTCTAATTGACTTGGAATATATGAAAAATACAAGGAACAAAACTCGTAATGTTATAGATTATGACGTACATTTACACGAATATTCATTATATTTGATTATGGAGTTCTATGGACACAGCTGTTACAATCCTCTTGCTTGTAATTTATAAGTGAGTCTCGGTCTGTCTGAAAAAAATGCTCGATTTTCAGTTTACTTTTCATAAAAGATGCAAGTTATCAAAATGGATAGCCGTTCCACTTTAATGTTTAACAGAAAGGAGTTAAAAAATTCCATAAACACACTTAAGAATCGGATTTAGAAACGAGAAAGAAATTCATACAAAAAAATGCGGGGTTTCTTGCAAAAAAAAATACAAAGAAGAAGGTTTTTACGAAACTTTTTGAAATATAGCTGATCGAAAAAAGAAGCGGTTTTTTACAAGTTAAGATCCAGCATGCAGGAAGATAATAAAACCTTATTTTTTTATTCAATTTGAAAATTTTAAAAGGATTTTAAAGTGTCATTTAATACATATAGTATCAAAGAATAAAACTTTTTTTTTTAATATAAAGAAGGTATAAGAGATAATGTCTTATAAAACTTTTGTTAAAGAGAAATGAGTTTCATATCGGATTACTCGTATCGTCTTTCAACATTCCAAATAACGACTATGAGTGATTTGTCATTGTGTTCCACTTCTTTTAGCATTTGCTAGCCTGTTCCAGCATCAGTATCAAATATGAGTATGAATCTCATTCTTATTCCTATTATTTTTATTCTTCTTACAATTAGGTATCTTGTTTTTATGTTTCCTCAATTGTTCATTGAACTGTCAATGATTAAGAAGGTACAAGAAAAAGATGGCGTTTTTTGTAAAATTTTTGTTAAAGAAAAACCTATGCAATTTTATATCGGATTGCACATATTGTTTTTCAATGTTCTAAACGACTGCGTATGTGAAGGATTTATCGTTGTTAAATAAAAAATAAAAAAACGAGCCTCAGCTTTCGCCATACTGTTCTATTTGTATAAAAAAACGCATATAAATATAAATGAAGGTCGTTCTTATTCTTATCACATTTTTATTCTTAAATGCATGATATAATTGCGTGCGTTGCACACATGAAATGTAAGTGTACGCGTGAGTGCCCACAGGATGTCGAGCTCCGTAAATTCGCTAAGTCAACCTGACCGTGCGGATCAGTCATCCCTACGGGATCATATCATCACGCTTGATCGGTGTCGTACTCTCACGAGTACCGAAGTACTCGGAGCATCTTCGATTTCGCGCCATTCCGCGGCCGGGCCGGGGCGGCCGGGCTCGCGCGGGTTCGGCCGTCATCGGTTACGCTCGGTTTTCGCGCGAGCACGGCGCGTTTGATTCCGCCGCGATTTCGAGTAGGGCGCGCGGCGCGGCGGGGCGAGTATCGGGGAGGCGAGTGCCGGGGACAGTTCTCAAACTTTGGACATCGCGAGAGCTTTCAACGCGACGTATCTCGTAAGAAATCACTTCATTCGTATTACCAAACGCATTAAACCGCTGCGTGTCGCGGAGGACTTTGTCAAACGGCGAATGGGGAAGCCTTGTCGCGAATCGCTGCTCGTAAATGTTCCGCGCACAGGCATGCACAGGTACGCGTCAATCCTTCGCGTTTCGGGCCGGTTGCCAGTCAAAGTGAATTCGCTCTCGCGATCCCGTCGAGTTTCTAATCGCCGGCAGCGAAATTACGTGCGCCGTCGAGCGTCCGGAGAGCCGAGAATGTCATCACAGAACATTCGTGTCGCGGATCGATTCGTATACCGACCGTAAATCAGTCGCGGATTTTCGATCGCGTAGTGCGTAGTACGCGTACCACCGGAGTCGGAGTCGGAGTCGGAGTCGTTGTCGTTGTCTCGCCGTGACGTCATGGCGGCGGTGGGCTGGCTTTTTCCTTTTTCGTATTTCGGAGCGTACGGTTTTCTAGCTCGAGGTATCGTCGCTGTGTATATCAATGTGTGTCTGTGAGTGCGTGAACGCGTGCGCGATGCTATCTTTTTCGTCACTTTCGCGAGAACGAGGATTCTTTGAGAAAACCGACGAGACTGATTTAGTCGCAAATTAATCACCTGATCCGCGAGGTCACTGATCGGCTGTCCGCGGCGATATCATGAGATTGGTGAATGAGCATGTTATATTATACTTGCATGACTGATGTTCATTTCTATTAATGTAGATTAATTTCTATCTCAGTTTAACACTGTTAAATTCGTAGTGTCAAATTATACTCAACTTGAGTCATTTTTTATCATTTTTACAGGTCGCCACTTAAGTGTTTGTGAGTGTGTGAACGTGTGTGCGATGCTGTTCTTCGTCACCTTCTTGAGAAGGAGGATTCTTGGAGGAAAATTAAACCGACGAGACTAAGTCACAGATCACTGGTAAGGTCACTGATCGGCTGTCCGCGGCGATATGGTGAGTGAACGTGTTATACTTGCATGACTGATGTCCATTTTTATTAATGTAGATTGATTTCAATCTCAGTTTAACACTGTTAAATTCGTAGCCACTGTTAAATTCGTAGGCCGCCACTGCTCCTACTCAATACGTCGCTAATTTAACTGAAACAGTGTAAATTTAACTAAACTACTAAACCAATGGAGTTAAAATAATAAATTTCGACACACATGTTAGTTAAAAATAACAGAATGTCGTTTAACTTAAAGTATTGGTTTAAATTTCGTCCTTTAATATTTAACAGGAAATTTACTTTTTATCTTTTCTAATTCTAAGAATTAGAAATATATTTAACAGTAAATTTACTTCTTATTTTTTTTTCTAATTCTTAGAATTAAAAAAAGATAGTAGTTAGAAAATAAATTTACTGTTAAATATTAAAGGATGAAATTTAAACCAATACTTTAAGTTAAATGACATTCTGTTATTTTTAACTAACTTTAATCTTGGTTTAGCTTACTTCTTATTCTTTTTCTAATTCCAAGAATTAGATAAGTTAAATCGAATAAATCTCCATTGATAGAAATGGACTGTAATTCTTCGCAATCTAAGATATTTCTCGCAAATGAGAGAAGATCAGGTACTTGATCTTTAATGTTTTTTATTGACTGGTCTAACATGAATAAAAAAATGTCTATTACTTGGCGGAATTTATGGAAATTCTAAAAGTATATGCTAGCCGATTATATTTGCATACAGATTCGAATGTTTAAATAATGCTGCAATAGGTCATGTATAATGTCGAGTTCAACTCGACATAGGAATTAATATTCATTTAATGACGGTAGCCGATGTGACTTAATGCTTCTTGAAATTGACATTGAAATTGAAATTTCGTCAAATCTTTTAATTTGAGAGAAAAACCTGTATTTTTATATTAGAAATTAGACACTCGTAAAAATTCGAAAAAAGATTTTTAATTTGTATTAAGAAGTATTACATTGCTACCTTTATGTCTCGTTTAACACTTCGTTCACGTTTTTCTTTTTATCTACATAGATTTAGGTAGGTACGTAAGTTTCGAGCAGATAATCAATAATTGGTGCAACCATTATCTTTGTTGGCACAATTAGCGTTTTATTATAGAAAGAGGTATTGTTAACCTTATCATTAATATACGATAACGAGCTGAGAGATACCACATTTACTGAACACTTGGAGAAAAATATACACCGAGGGTCGATTAATATTGCACAGATATAATGTCAGGAAATTAAAATTGCAGACAGAACTTAGAAAATAATTTAAATGAATAATAATTATCGCATATGCGACAGTTTTAAATAAACGTTAAAAAACAAGCTACGCTTTAAATTACCATTTAGCTATTTTATCTACGAAGATAAGTCGAACCCTTCGGAGTTCGAGCCTCAGGCTGTTGCCTCGTGAGCTAGGCCGCCCGAATATCTCGATAATAATATCGTAAGCATCCCCCGATCCGGACGCGTCCGTGTTTCGCGCGGTCTCGACTCGACAGCAATGGAATATACACGTACAGAGAGAGAAGAGAGAGAGAGAGAGAGAGAGAGAGAGAGATCGCGTAGAGGAGCGGCTAGGGTGGCGTCGTTCTCCTCTCCGGAGCAGAGGGGGTCAGGGGGTGACGAGGGAGACGAGGTAGGGCGATGGACGAGGGATGGAGAGGTGGTGGCGGGGGTAGCGCGCGGCGGACGCCCGCGCGCGTGGTGGGATCGGCGCGGCAGGGGAAAACGTAGCACGCGGGTTGTCGAGAGAAAGGCAGGCAGGGGTAACGGCCACCACGCCGGTAGGGGTGGCGGTGGATCCGACGGTGCTTCTCTCTCTCCACTCTCAGTCCCGAGAGCGGAGCCAGAGAGGCGGGAGAGCGCGACGCGCACTCGAAGCTCGCTCGCTCGTCGTTCCGCGTCTCCGTACACACCGCAACACTGTGCGGACCCGTCGCGTTCCGTCTCGTTCCTCTCGCGCGTTCGCCGTACGTGACGTCCTCTCGCGATCCCTCGTCCACGTCGTCCGTTCGCGACGCGGGGGTAATCGAGGACGCCGAGGTGTTGTGGAATCCGCGCACGAATCAGCGCTCCTCGGGTATTCGGGCTGCTGCGAGCTGCGATAGTCCAAGTGCGTCGAATGATGCTCGCCCTTTTCGCGATGCTGTGAGAAGAGTGGACCGATCTTGCGAGAGCCAGTGCCGAAAGGATTGCCGTCGCTGACGCCGTCTCCCGGTGAGAGGGGATGACGTGGACGGCCTTGGAGCAGTTGCCCGCGTGTGTTCGGTAGAACGAGGGACCTCGGGACCTCGAGGGGTGGGCCGAGACGCAACGATTATTTGGGGAGCGTCGAGGGAGAGTTTTTCTGAATTTTTCTCATTACCGCGCGAATGTATCGTGATTGACGCTTGGCAACGATACGGCGATACCAAAGAGAAAGAGCTCGTCGTCGATCGACCTTTCGCGCTACTCCGATATCCGAACGGCGAATCTTCGAAGGTTTCCTCGTTGAGAAGAAGGCTCCCTACCTGAAAGGGACCCGGACGGTGCGATGCTCTCGGTGGAAACATGAGAATCGTTTGAGAGAGAGGACTCGTCCTCTCGCGCGAGATCGATCGTCACGTGCTCCAGACGGCTGTCGGAATTCGCGTGCCGATCGCGGAGGCCCGTCACGTGCCTCTCGGCCGCGAAGGAGGGTGGGTCGTGCCTCGTCGGCTCGATTATTCTCGCATTCGCTGCCTCGCGGATGCACTTCGATTTTCGTGACGCGCGCACGAATTTCGCTCCGCTTTATTTTTAGTTTTTTTTTTTTTTTTCAATCTACTTCCATCACACGGGGCGTTTCAGCGCGCGCTTTCGAAACATGATGACCACCCTGCCGACGATGCTCTCGACGCATTCGCGCTACGCGCGGATTACGGTCTCGCTCTCTCTCTCTCTCTTCCCTGTCTAACCCTTGCTTTTCTCTTTCTCTCTCCGAAAAAGAGTGCACGCGAGTTTGTGATTTGACGTGAATGGGATTTACGGGCGAAGTGATAGCTCCGCTGCCCGTGACGTACAACTCGTCCTTAAAATAAATGCCGATGATACACGTTGTCGAGATATACGTATATCCTTTCCGTTTTTTTTTTCCGAACGTCATTTTGACTCCCGGCTGTGCGGGAAAAGGGCCAGGGGTGAGAGAGAGAACGCGACGTGCGTACCCTACGCGTCGGACGGCTACGGGGGGGGGGGGGAACAGTCGTAGCGCAGGAATAACACACGGGTAGACGAGCGGTTCAAGGGGTCGTCGGGACAAAGCGGCCGCGGCATGCATATGCACGAGGGACTTTGTGTACCCAGTTTGCGGGCCGGTGATTACAGGTGGGAATAAACCGATACCGAGATACGGAGGCTGCTGCCTAAATACACGTCGTGACCCACTTCCATAAGTTTCGGACATTCGCCTCCGTTCTGACGGCGCGAGGTTCTAAATACCTACCTACCTACCTAGCGGTCGGTAGTCTCTCCCGTTCCGTAATGCGAAATATCAACATTTGCACATTGGCACGCACGCGCGCAAAGGCGACGACGAAAGTTTCGGAGGCGTTAATTTTACGGATGACACAAATGGAAATATACCGCGCGAAAACTTTCGGAGCGAATGACGTGTTTTCATCATCTGTTGTTTCGGAATGTGGGTTTTAAAAACGCGGTTGGAAAATCAAAACATCGTTTCGCGTGAGACCGCAAGTGAGATCTCACAAAAAAAAAAAGAGAAAAAAACCACATTCGATGGGATTATGATTATAAATATGATCGAAACGGTTTCTCAGTTATCTCTCGTGCAATAATATCGCGATTGCACTCCGCTTTACATTTACTTGAATGTCCCGATATTATTTCGAGCGATACATTTCCGCGAATATTAAGAACGATAATTTACGGCCGAGTTTTTTAATATTCGAGGCACGCGGAGCGGTATCGGTGTATCAATCCACAAGTACGACCGACCTGCCGGGACGATCAATTTAAAAGGCCGTCCGTTTGCGCGAAACGCGAAAGATGATTTATGCCCGCGTCCGATGCGAATAACGCGTACCTACTCGAATTGCCCGCTAGCTCGCTCGCTCGCTTGCGATCCGGCAGCCGAAGCGCGACGGCACGAAATTATCCGAGATATCTCAATTAGCCGCGTAAATCATCACTCGATTCGAAAACCGAACGATAAATGATACGCGCTGTATCCGCATTTTTCCCCAGATATGATTTTCTACGAAATTGCGATTGCGCTGAAAATGGAGACGTCGCCGTAAATCAACGGGCCGCGATCGGCGTTTTCAGACTGGATCCTGCGAAATCCTATTAAAGATTGCGGGTTGATCAACCGTCGTAACGTGTTGTGAAATACAATAGCGATCGCGGGGTATTACATATGCGTGCATTTACCGCGGATTTAGACACTCGTTACACGCACGCGTGCATTACAATTGACGTAAATGGCATATGCATTACAATTGGCATCAATAGAGCGAATAATCTATAATGAACATTTCTGGTGTTGTTCTCGTCGCAAACGTGAAAACAGAAATTGCAGAAATTGCAATGCGACAAACACAGCCAATGATAAAATTATCACGTTTTTTGTAAATCGTTAAATAAATATTGGATGATTATCGATATTGTGATTTCTCTCCTTTTCAAACACATTAATTCGTAATTTATTGTACGCATAAATTATATTCAGCGTAAACAGCGTGCTTGCTCCGATAATATAAGAGCAGATGCGTAAACTAAGCCAGACTAAATCTGGCTGTGAGCAACACGTTACGAGAAACGATCGACGAGCTCTTTCTTCGCTCTTTCTCCGAACACGGAATTCATCCGGCGATTTGAGTCGCGTCGCTTACTACGGCGCTTTAGTGCCCAAGTTTAACGAGTCCCTTACGGGGACATTGCGCCCGGGGGAATTCGACCAGGTTCTTCTAAAATCCGATAATCGGGCTGTGCATTCGGCGGTAGTGAATCAACCCGGTTTTACCTTAGAGAGAAACGTACCATTGTCACGAATCTCTTCTACGCGAGAGATTAGTAGCGATCGGCGTCGGGAAGTTGGGTCACCGATTTCCTGACGCGGAGCGTCTCGCAAATTGCAGATTTGTCGGTGCGTCCTGTGTCGATTGTTGATTCTCGTGGTCTCGTGGTCGCGAAGTCTGTGAAGTGTCGTCGATTCGCGCCGCAGCGCGCAGAGAGGAAGCGCGACGAGGTGATGCACGAAGAGATGCGCGACGCGAACGAGAGGTCGGCGTCCGGTTTTGTCGCGGCGGAACTGCAGCTTCCTCGCCTGGCGGTGCATCGTCGATGCTGAATCGCGTGCTTGGCACGTACGCGGTGGTGGTGGTCCTCGAGCGGACTCTTTCGCGCGGATGACAGCTGGACGTTTTCGCCGCGAGGGTGACAGTGAGATCCTCGAGCTCAGTTGAGCTGGGAAGAGACGAGTCTCTCGCGTCGCCGAGAGTTCGAGACACGCCGTCGGTGATATCCGACGAGGACTACTGCGCGAATCGGGTGGTGATCGGTAGTGATGCCGTGATGGGCTGCAGCTCGAGATCGTTCTTCCTGGCCACGCTCCTCCTCGTGGCTGGATTACTGTCGATCGCGCTGTTCGCCGAGATATCTTGCGCGACACGTAAGTCTGTGGCTTCATATTTGAGAATTATTATGGATAAGTTTTGCAATATAACGACCCTCGGTTGGCGGCAGTCGAGAGTAAAAAGTGATTCGTGAACAATTCAATTGTGTTTCAGAAATGGTTATTTTTGAAAATAATCTTTAAAAGGGACAGCAAATATTTTTTTAAAATATTTATGAATATATAGATATTATTCAAAATATTTATTTAAAAAATAAAATCTGGGATGGGAAATTAAATAGCAGAATAAATATAATACATTAATTTTTTTCTAAACTTTAAAAAAATTTATATAAATTTTTCTGAGAGATGGATATTTCCACATATGGCAGGTTGAAAAAAAAATAGAAAACAGCATAAAAATCTGTCCTCGCGGTTTAAAGCGATGCGCTTGAAATTATAGGAGATTACGCGAGTGTAATACAAATTTCCTACTTCGTATCTTTTTTGTCCACGCTTTTCCCTCTTGAAATACAATTGCGTAATTGCGGGCGATTAGCATTCCGCGCAAGGAGATCGCGGAGATTCCGTCGCATCCGGCCGAGGAAGCCTCTCATTAGACCGCGTACCGGAACTCGATGGGTCTAATTATTTTCCGAGTGCCTGCGAACTCGGAGAGATTCGCGTTTTGGGGGTGACTCGAATCGGGGTCACGCGTATGCATCGATATCCCTTTCTCGGTATCTCTCTTCGTTTCTCTCTCTCTCTCTTTCTCTCGTCCACATATCCGTTTCTCTTGTATACCCTTAATGCTGCGTTCGCGCATGTACCGACACCCGCGTGTATAGCCGCAAACTGTTCCTCCTGCACAAGCAGCCATTCCTAAAATAGATACGCGCGAGCATATTTCGCGAATCGTGCGTGGAAGTTGCTCGAGATAGTAAGAAGAAGCATGGACCCGTATCTATAACTCGAAAGTAGAAAGGAACATTTACGTTCGACTTTATGAGTCGTGCGAAAACGTTTATGGTTTTCGTACGATAAAAGTTGCTATAAAAATTTATTTTGGCTCTCTTGTACGACATTATCGAGGAAAGTGTGCTTTCTGTATATTATATACATACATTGATGAAGATGTATATTCTGTATCGTAAAAGAAGATTAAATTTACTCCAGATTTCTATAATTTTTTCACATCTATTAAAGGAAAATATGATGTGAGATCACGTCTTTTTCTTTGTCATACCAGCAATGTAAAAAAATACAGTTATGCGTATAGAGGTTTAGACGAATCCGACTATATATTAATTGGAATGTCAACTCGATCGAGTAACATGGGGCTATACAAATTTTGTCGAATTTTTGAATTAAATCCAGCTGGCATTTTGACTATTGTCGCACTGGCTTTTTGAAAACGATTAAAATTGTTGAAAAAAGGCATCGAATGAAAACACGGAAACACCGCGCGTGACGACGAAATGGCCTGTTTAGTCGAGAGCGTACGCGGGCGCAACGTGAAAAGGCAGGGACGACACAACGGAATATAATCTCCCCTTCCCTGCTACGGCTCGGATCGTGCTGGATTGTCAGGGGTTGTGTTCTCGGTGGATCATGGCGGATGAGGGAACGCGGGGCACGAACGAGGGGCGAGGGAGGGGACGACGATGGCTTCTCGCTCAAAGGATGCTGAAGCGAATGGGATGCGGACGTCGTTGTCACGACCAGGCGTGAGGTCGCTGATATTCCCTTGTCTTTTATTAAGGAGGGCTTCCTTTCTACGTTTGCGTCGCTCGTTCCTCCTTTCACACTCTCATTACTCTGTTTAGTGGCCACAGCCGATGTTCTTTTTTACGCGCTTCTCTCTGTCCGTCTTTCGTTGTACCGACACCGCCGCAACGCGCCCTTGCGAATAATGCTATAATTATTTCCCTGTCCCTTTTTCCTTTACTTTTTTGCTTTCTTTCTCTCTCTCTCCTTCTTTCTATCTATTTCTATCTCTATCTCTATTTCTCTTTTTCCTTCTGCCAAGGTTCATCTTTGTACTCCCCGCAAACGATTCTTTGCGGCATTCTGTCCGCCTCGCCATATGTTGCTGGTTTTTTCTCGTGGTCATTAACGCGCAGCGAATCGTGCGATGAATGTTTAATTTCGGTTTTCTCGTGGTCCGCGAGAAATTGGATCATCCACAACCACGATATTTTCTTTCACGCTGGAATCGAAGTGCGGAAAGTTTTGGAATTATTTAATGATAAATTAAAAGGCTACAGTGATGATATATTTCTGTACAATTATTAATATTATAAAAATGCAATCAGGAGTAAGCGCTATAAACGAGAGATTCTTAGAATTAGGCAATATCGTGATTTATAGAATAATGAATAAATAACGTTCAAAAGATTATCCTTCATTCAGAAACACATTTAACATTTTCTAAAGCTGTCCAATCTCAATCGATGAGTATATCATTTGGTCGGAATTGTGCGTTATGAATATTAATTTTGATTTTACTACGATAGCTTGATGTGATATTGAATTCCCGAGAATACTCGAAAAATACCGTTTGCTTGATATCACTCCATATATGATGCAAGAATTTTTGGAAGATATTCGCGAACGATCCCGTTTTCTTCCTTTACTCTTTCGATTTTTTCCAGGAAACTTCCTCGGTCTTTTTCCTGACCGAGCAACCTCGTCGTCTCGAATTCTCCGCATTTATCTCTGGACTTCTCTCTTCGAAATAGTATATAATTATATACTATACAATATATAATTATATTTGTTTCGATATGACGTAGTGTTTTCTTTGTCCCTTATCATTACGTAGGCATTACTTCAATAAGACGCGTTTGATTTTACGGAGGAGTAGCGGCGCACAGAGACTGCATTTTGATCAAAAGCTTCGCTTTAAGAGTCCGCGTCCTAACGCCACCCTTCAAAGTACCATTTATTATTTTTTCTATGTCGCGATATTGGCTTTTGTGAGAACGCACCCGACCGTTATAGATGTATCTTAAATGTTACACGCTTCGTTCCTCATCCGTTTCGCTTTGTTAGCTATCTTAAGATCGCGCTGCTTTGTTCGATATTTTTCTTCGCGTTTCTTATTGTTAACGTGGCACAAATAGATGCCGTGTAATGACGCGAACATTTCTGTTAAGACGATAACGAGATACGTCTGTATTCCTTCGCGCTACGTTCTTTATTATTACTAACTCGTCCATCTACGATCTCTTTACGCAACACCATATTTTTACAGCCCTTATCTGCTTTCGCGATCTCGTTTATTACGTCTTCCTCTGTATTCTTCTGAGCAGACACCTACACCTCAGTTTCCACCGTCTCATTTTCTTTATCATGCTCCCCATTTCTCTTCCTTCCTGCCTTTTGCCACAACGTTTCCTCTCGCGTTTCGCTCCCTGAGAGAAGTCTGCAGTAAACTATATTCCTATTTCTCGACGAATCCTACGCTTTTTATAGATATCCGTTAGTGTCATGTATGTCGAGATTTTTCAAGGCGCGACACGGATTCGCAGGTAGTATCCCAGATCGTCTCACTTTCTGGGTCACTCTCCCCCATCCCTTATAAACGCCGCAATAAAAGTTTGCGACTTCTTCGTAACGCGGACACACCTGCGGTCCTCCTCTCTCTCTTCGTGTGTTCTTCGCTTTATCCTTCGTCCCATATCCAGCGAGATTGATAACGTATCTTTTTACAGATCGGATCGGGCTTTTTTGTCGCTCGTTGAGGCGCTTGCCGCCTCGCAAAAAAGCTCTGGGTCCCGTCATCAGCAACGCCGCGAAAATCCGTGTAAATGCGCGTCGTCGATAATCTAAATGATATGAAGAAATCTCTTTTCTCTCGGCAGCTACCACGTCTCACGAAAAATGCGAACGGGAGGGAAAAAATTGAGAGAGCGCGCTTCTGGTTACATCGCGCGAATGCGAAAATCGATTTTACGACAGTCGCGCGGCGCGCCCGACTTTCACGCCGCGTGCAAATAAACGCTCGTTACTCACGACAGATTTTTCCCGTTCCGTGCTTTAACGAGTGACTTATATAGGTGGTAAACAATACTTGCGTCCACGTTTGTAGCAATGTCACGCCATTTCCCTGGATCCCGATGTAACAGCGAAATAAGAAAATACTGTCTCTCTCTCTCTCTCTCTCTCTTTCTTGCAACACTACGTGCAGTTCGCAATCGTGATGAAAACGACACGCAGATTTAAAGTCGATCCCTCGCGGATATACGTATTCGCCGTATATCTGATTTCGTGAAATAGATATATCGGACAATAGTTAAGATAAATACTCGCATCGCGGTAGTTCCTAGTTTAGGTCTCGTGCTTCGAGAAGAATCAAATCACTTCGGGTGGGATCGTAACGTCGACACGTTATTCCGACCGTTTATAAAAAAAAAAAATATATATAGACGTACATATAGACAATGTGCCGTAAAATATTACGGAGCTCATAAACACACCCGTGGCTTTTGATCGTACGGTTTATTGACTCGATTCGTGATGTGCCAGGGCAAACGTTTTATCGCCACTGCGACAAATGTGGAATTAATCAAATTGTGAATTTTTTTTTCTCCACGAGCGTTCGCCCGATCGCGATTACAAAATCATTGACCGCGCGCCACTCTAAACGCAACGCAACAAATGCAACGTAACGCAACGCGGCGTAGCGGCGGTTTGCGATCCCGATGCGCCCGGTCTCGTTTTATTGGCGTTGCTCATCCCGGCGTGAACGGGCGATATTACGCATTAGAGATTACGCTTGTGAGCCGAGCGCCGAGCTCGGCGTCGGATCGCGTTCGTTTTCGCGAAACCATCGAACCGGGAGCAATCGATACGCGGCTCCGTGAAATTATGAGCATCATCGCGCCGACGTTTTATCCATCCCGAGGATTTATATTTCGAAAAATCCCTCGACAACGAGCGCGCCATCGCATCGCATTGCGTTACTCTGGTGTATATATCATTCTCTCGCCATGTGGGATGCGTGAATTGAGATAAATGCACTGAATTGTATATAAATCTATTGAACTTTCGAT